CTGAGGAGGGGGTTTAGGGAGGGTTTCCACGCACGGGGGGGGGGGCATGGCTGGTGATGGGGGGCAATGGAGCACTGAGGGAGGTGGCACCAGCAGCCCGGGAGGCAGGAAAGGCCAGCGCTGTCGGGCAAGCTCTGGGCACGTGACTTCGTCATGCCTGAGAGCTGGTCTTGCCTTACAGCTCCCCAGCCGAGCTGTGTGCACGTGTAGGGAGGGCCCCGGCCAGGCGGGAGCAGGAATTCGCACGTGGTGGCTGCATGCTGGGTGTGCCGGAACCCGTGCCAAGGCAGCGCACGTGTGCTCACTGACGTGCCCAGCCTCGCCGCACGGCAGAGGGCGCTGGCTGCACAAAGCCCGGCTGCAGCCACGTGGCATGTGGCTCCCCCCTAAAACCTGCAGCCTTTAAAGAACCGAATCGGTTCTAGTGCGGGAGCACGGCCTGGCCCCAGGCCCCACTGTGCTGGGTGCTGTAACACTCATGCACATGCACACACATACACAGACACACGTGTGCATACGCATACACACACACGTGCACACACACAGACAGGTGCACATGCACAACATACAGAGACACGTGTGCCCATGCACACACACACATGCGACAGACTCCCCGCCTCCCATCCAAGGTCAAAGGGGACTATTTGGGGTGACCCGGGGCCCCATCCCCAGGCTCAGTGTCCCCCTGCCCCCGACTGAGGAGCGCTGGCCCCAGCCCGGGGGGTGGGGGCGTTGAAGCGTTTGGCTGGGGCTGGCCACACGGCGGTCAGCTGTTGCTCTGTGGGGTCCCAGCTGGTCCTGCCTTGGTCTGCGCCCTACAGACCTCTCCGCAGGGCACCGGCCGGGCGACGGTGAATGGCCCAAGCGATGCTGCTCATACGCCTCTGCCAGCCTCGTCCCTCCAGGAACCCCAGTTCTCCTAGCGCCGCCCGTTGGGGCGCCAGGAACAGCTCCCCGTTTCATGGCACCGAGCCCAGTCACTGCCTTACCCTCTGCTCAGAACGCTGCAGCCCCCGGCGCCAGTCACTGCTCCCCTCTGGACCCCCCAGCTGGGCGTTGGCCCTCTGGCACGCAGCCACCCAGCCCCAGGCGACGCACCATTGCAGGGGGCTGCACCCAGCGGCCCCTCTAACGTTCCCCACCCATGTGTGCAATGAATTTTATGTGCAGCACCATGGAGGTGACGTGTGACACGTCCCCATGTGACACATCACCTCCATATTGGTGCACAGAACAAAAGTCATGTGGTGGGGGTGGGGCCGAGGGGTTCGGAGTGTGGGAGAGGGCTCAGGGCTGGGGCAGACGGGTGGGGTGAGGGGAGTGAGGGCTCCAGCTGGGAGTGGGGCTGACGGGTTTGGGGTTCAGGCTGCCCCAGGGCAACAGCAGGGAGAAAGGATTTCCCGCCTCCCCCCCCAGCTCTCTCTCACTGCGGCAGCTCCAGGGCTGGGGAGGGAGAGGCGCCTCTCCCCCGGCCGTGGCAGCTCCGGGGTTAGGAGAGAGGAATCTCTCCCGGCCACAGCCCTGAGCGCCTGCGTGGCGCGTAATAGGCTGCTGCGCGACTCCGCGGCTGTGCAGCTTAGAGGGAACTTAGGTTGCCCTGACTGAGCTGAGCCAGCCCCCAGGACCCGCTGGGTGTAGTGCCTTGACCAGGCTTTGCTCTGTGCGGGGCGCTCCTGGCGCTCGGGTGAGCAAATGCCCCCAGCTGCCCTGCGTGCCGGGGCCCCAGCCAGGGGCTCATATCCGAGCGCCAAGCGAGAGCCAGGAGCCAGCCTGCCGGGCGCAGGGTTCTGGATCCACACCCAGCACCGTGGCACTGAGGGATGGCACCTGCTGGTAGGGGCTGCCCTGGTCCTGGCCCGCTCAACGTCCCCAGTCTGTCACCAGCTGCTCCGGCCCGCTGGCCCCTTCCCGCGCTACCTTGGACGTCGGCTCACTGCCCCCACGCGCACCAGGCTGACGCCCAGCGGTTACCGGAGCCGAGGCGTGTCTCCAGCCAGGAGCAGCCCGAGATTCCCACTCCCAGCACCCCGTGGGGCTGGGGCACCGGGCCAGGCTGCACGAGGGTGATGCAGCGTCCAGCAGAATGGGCAGGGCGGCGGTGCAATGGGCCTTGCGGGGAGCAGGGCGCTCGTGGCACTGTGCAGAGCTGGGTCCCCAGGGGGGCTGGGCTGGCCAGGCACGAGGGGTGACTCGGGGTGCTGTGCTCAGGGCTGGCGCCCGGCTGCTGGCTGAGAGGGGCTCTGGGGAGCTCTCCAAGGAGCCAATGGCATCTGAGAGCCCCTCCATGCACACCCCAGCCGATGCCCATGCCCACACGTCTCTGCTCAGTGCTTCCTTGGCTGCAGCGAGGCCCCCCCGTGCAGCAGGGCCGAGGGGCTGGGGAACAGTCAGTGCTGGGACTGGGGAGAGACCCCTGCCCGTGAGCACTCGAGGGGCTCAAAGATTGACCCAGCAGCATGGGGCACAGTCCTGTCCCTCCCCACCAACTGCACCTGAATGCCCTGCACTGGCAGGGGAGGGGCTGAAGTCCTGTCAATCATAGAATATCAGGGGTGGAAGAAACCTCAGGAGGTATCTAGTGAACCCCCTGCTCAAAGCAGGACCAACCCCAACTAAATCATCCCAGCCAGGGCTTTGTCAAGCCGGGCCTTAAAAACATCTAAGGATGGAGATTCCACCACCTCCCTAGGGAACCCATTCCAGTGCTTCACCACCCTCCTAGTGAAATAGTGTTTCCTAATATCCAACCTAGACCTCCCCCACTGCAACTTGAGACCATTGCTCCTTGTTCGGTCATCTGCCACCACTGAGAACAGCCGAGCTCCATCCTCTTTGGAACCCCCCCTCAGATAGTTGAAAGCAGCTATCAAATCCCCCCTCACTCTTCTCTTCTGCAGACTAAATGACCCCAGTTCCCTCAGCCTCTCCTCATAAGTCATGTGCTCCAGCCCCCTGATCATTTTCATTGCCCTCCGCTGGACTCTTTCCAATTTGTCCACATCCCTTCTGTAGTGGGGGCCCAAAACTGGACACAATACTCCACATGTGGCCTCACCAGTGCCAAATAGAGGGAATAATCACTTCCCTCGATCTGCTGGCAACATGCCTACTAATACAGCACAATATGCCATTAGCCTACTTGGCAACAAGGGCACACTGTCTACTCATATCCAGCTTCTCATCCACTGTAACCCCTAGGTCCTTTTCTGCAGAACTGCTGCTTAGCCACTCGGTCCCTAGTCTGTAGCAGTGCATGGGATTCTTCCGTCCTAAGTGCAGGACTCTGCACTTGTCCTTGTTGAACCTCATTAGGTTTCTTTTGGCTCAATCCCCTAATTTGTCTAGGTCCCTCTGTATCCGATCCCTACCCTCCAGCGTATCTACCACGCCTCCTAGTTTAGTGTCATCTGCAAACTTGCTGAGGGTGCAGTCCACGCCATCCTCCAGATCATTAATGAAGATATTGAACAAAACCGGCCCCAGGACCGACCCCTGAGGCACTCCGCTTGATACCAGCTGCCAACTAGACATGGAGCCATTGATCACTACCGGTTGAGCCCGACGATCTAGCCAGCTTTCTATCCACCTTATAGTCCATTCATACAATCCATGCTTCTTTAACTTGGCAGCAAGAATACTGTGGGAGACTGTATCAAAAGCTTTGCTAGTCAAGGAATAACACATCCACTGCTTTCCCCTCATCCACAGAGCCAGTTATCTCCTCATAGAAGGCAATTAGGTTAGTCAGGCATGACTTGCCCTTGGTGAATCCATGCTTCACTTTCCTCTCCTCTAAGTGTTTCATAATTGATTCCTTGAGGACCTGTTCCATGATTTTTCCAGGGACTGGGGTGAGGCTGACTGGCCTGTAGTTCCCCGGATCCTCCTCCTTCCCTTTGTTAAAGATGGGCACTACATTAGCCTTTTCCGGGACCTCCCCCGATCGCCAGGAGTTTTCCAAGCAGGGCCGGCTCTAGGCAGCGTTCCAAGCATGTGCTTTTTTTTTTTTTTTTTTTTTTTTT